GAAGATGCCATCGAAGCCTCTGCCGCCATTTCAAGCTGGTGAGCTCATAGTGCTAATTAGTTTATGTCCCGTTCTTTGGTTTCCATCTGCGTGTTAATCTCATTTAGAGGGCATATACTGCAGTGATTACTTGAATTATGATGAAAAAAAGATTGATATAGTGGTATTATTTTTACCTGTTTGCGAGGATAAGTGGAATTACTGGAAATGATATGATTTTTGTGCGAATGGATGAAATGTGAAATATGATCACTTGAATTCTGTCATACTTTTAAGCTTATTTTGTTTTGATATTTCTGCAAGTTCCGAAATGATTCTGCATTCTGTTAATTGAGTTTCCCTTGCCCTTTGGCAAGTTAGGAAATTTATTTTCTGCATATTTTCTGTGATGATGTGTAATTTATTTTCTGCATCATCAGTTGCATCTTAGAGAAAGAATATTACTGCTGAAGCTTTGATGCTTGTTAACTGGTTGTTTGCGTAGAAGGTTAAGTCCTTGAGAAGGAAATGGCTTTGTGAGGCGAAGAGACAAATTTTAGACAATAATTGTTTGAACCCTGTCATCATAGTACTTTAGGATTCATTATTATTTTTCATTGAAAAAGTTGTTCTGATAATCCAGGAAAGATTTATACTTTATATTAAGCAGTCACGTACCTTGCATAATTATATATTTGGAGAATCTTCCATTTTGTCAAATTTGGATCTTTTTTTCAATCTGGTTTTGTTTTAGTGAGAGAAGCTAAGAGCAATGCTGCAGCCCCACGAGGTGGTGGCTCGAGTCGTGGTGGGCCAGGCCGTGGAAGGGGCGCTCGTGACTTTGGTAATGGAAATGCTGACGGTTTTGCAAGAGGTTATGGTCGTGTTGATGGAGGTGAAAATGGAGACAACCGCAGGCCTTTCGAGAGGGAGCGTGGGTTCTATGGTGGACCCTCTGAAAGGGATCGTGGAACCTACGATGGACCCCGTCAACCTTTTCGAGGTGGGCGCCGTGGTGGTGATGGGAATGAAGAGACTGGAGGGGATTCAGAACGGCCCCGGAGGACCTATGAGCGTCGAAGTGGTACAGGGCGTGGGTATGAAAACAAGCGGGATGGGGCAGGGCGTGGGAACTGGGGAAATGCAACTGACGATGCTCTCACACAGTTAAGATTGGATTAGTCTCTTGTATGCAATTATGAGTTTGTTCACTAGTTAATCTGAATGTGCTTGGTTCTGTAGGGAGATTGGGGAGAATGTGAATGCTGAGGAGAAGATTGCAAGTCATGAAAAACAGCCAGAGCAGGATGATGCACCATCAGCTGAAGCGGATAAGGAAAAAAAGGAAGGACAAGCTAATGAGGCCGAAGAGAAGGAAAAGGAGGATAAGGTAATTCTCTTTCGTTGACAGTCTTATATTTTTTAGTTACCTGTGATGATTATTTTGCATCCTTGATCCTTTTATTTTTTACATATTTTTATTGATTAATCCTGACGTGAACTAATGTTATCCATGGCAAACTCAGTATATCTTTGTGTTGTTGGCTATGTAACCTGCTCATGGTCTATAATGATAACATGGCATTTTTGTTGTTTAGTTCTATAATTTTGTGGCTTTTATCGACATTGAACACAAATATGCCTCATTAATCTCTCGTCACTGGCAACTGTCATCACATGCCAAGTGAGAGAAATCCGGCATAAAAGGCTCGTTTTTCATGATGAGAATCAACAGAGCTGCTGATGGAAGGGCAATCGTAAGGTATACCAAGCTTGTATTGAGAATTTGCTGATGGAACACCAAACACAAATCATGAACTAATGATGTCCATGGGAAAAGGATTGGTATTGAGAGAGTGGTGTGGGCCAGGTTTCCTCAGTGTTATTGCTGTTCTACCCAGCATTTAAAGTATAAGCTGACTAGGACGAGCATCTTTATTTGTGAAATCAACAAAGCTTATTGCCATGAGAAAGTTAAGTAGATATTTTATTGCAAATTCTCTTTGTTTAGTATTTTAGTACACAACCTGGATGCCCTCTTGGAGGGAAGTGGCTCCAGAATGTCTGACTGAAGTCCTGAGCCCACACATTATGTGGTTCATGGCTCCTTTGAATCATTTAGGCGTATCGTTTACTGCCTATGTGAGCTGCATTTTCTGCTCTGGTCCACCTAAGTACCCTGTTTCAGTAAAGTCAAATGGGGTTTAACAAGTGGAACTAGCTTAAGGATGTCTGTCATAAACATCATTTTGATAACTTCCTGTAATCTTCACCGTTCTGCCAACTCCAATACACATTGTCCACACAATCTTTTCTAAATCTTTCAACTTGATTGCTCGTCATGATAATTTTGTGGAATTGTTTATTGTTTTCACCATAATGCAAACTTTTCAAAATAAGTTGATGTAAACCACAGAACATATATCTGAAGTGCAAATTAATCATGTAGTAGGCAACATACTTGGTTAGGCCGCCACAAGTGTGACACACTCAACACATACACGCAAACAGGATACATAGATACATATTATAGATCTGCATCTGATGCACTTAGAGAACAACTCAACCCGTTTAACTTGAATTCAGAATCTGTCCCCCCTTTAAACCATATTTCTCCGCACTTTCAACCAATCTTCTTTGCATCATATTTTCCACCTTTTTTGAACTGGCTTATATGGGTTTAGTTTTGTTTGCTATTGATTTCTTATTTATAACTTACGCTCGACATATCTAGCATACCAAGTTTATAGCTGTACAACAACCGTTTTTGCTGTAAATGAAAAATATACTATTTCATAATTCATATTCTATTATTATAGAGTAAGACAGTACTAGTGGATTTTTCAGAGTTCTGTTATAACTCAGACGAATAAGCTTACTGGCTAAAGTACCAAACCTTAAATCACCCTGTCAGGTTATTGGGTAGCATTTGCATACCTACATTTCTCGCTCACCTAGATTTACTGTTTGCATAAATCTGTTTGTCTAGATTATGGATTTTTAGTAGCAGTAGTGGTGATGGTGATGATGATGATAAGAGTGCATTCTGAATAGCATGTTGCTAGCATTTAGCAATGACAGTACATATGTAAACACTTGTCCTTTGTTGCTGTTCCTATAGGAGATGACCTTGGAGGAATATGAGAAAATAAGGGAGGAGAAGAGGAAAGCCTTGCTCGCATTGAAGACTGAAGAAAGAAAAGTCGAGATTGACAATGAATTAAAGTCCATGCATCTGCTCTCCTTGAAGAAGGAAAACGATCCCATCTTCGTCAAGCTGGTTAGTTTGACATTACTAACTTACCTCTATGGGTATCATCTATGAAGAGAAATAACTAGTATTTACAATTTATGATCTCGTTAGGGTTCTGACAAGAAGAAGAAAGAAAGCGCAGAAAGGGATGAAAAGGTCAAGAAGGTGAGCATTCCTACTTGTTATGCAATATATTTTACCATGTATGTTTGCTTGTGCTTGACTTTTTTGTGTTCTTTACTTTTGTAGTCTTTGAGCATCAATGAGTTTTTAAAGCCGGCTGAAGGTGAAAGATATTATGGAAGAGGCCGAGGCAGAGGACGAGGAGACCGTGGTCCTCTTCAAGGTGGTTATGGTGGTGGTGGTGGTGGTGGTGTTTTTGCCTCCGCGCCAGCAATTGAAGATCCTGGCCAGTTTCCTACCCTTGGAGGAAAATAGGGCGGTTATCCAACAGAATGACAACTTGTTTACCACTTCTAGTATTTGCCTATTTCTTGATATTTAATAATGAGATTTTGGTACTTTTTTCTTTTATATTTTTAAGTATGTATATTAAAGTGGTGCTAGGCGGTGTTGTCATCTTGTCTGATTAGTTGCCCGTTAGGGTTAAAGAAGTTTTGTGAACTATGATGGTATTGTTGTCGCATTCTGTTCTAATTCGGTCGCTCCAGTTTTATTCGTATTTGCGTGTTCGACGTCTTTAGGTAGTGATTTTTTTCCCCTGACCACTTGAGGAAGGTCAGGTTTCTTCATTCAAAGCTTTTCAACTTCTCTTGCGACTTGGAAGTTTTTAAATTTATAGAGGGTTCGAGAGCAATATTTTCGTATTGCCTGCCGTGACGATGTTTCATGTTGGATGTCATCTAAAGTACCAAGTTGTCTTCTTATCTACCGGGTGTAAAAACATACGATATACAATCTATAGACATGAGAAAATAGCAACTGATTTAATATTGCATTTTCTTAGAGATGAGGGAGTTATGGTTTTGATCATTGTAGCCTGCTGAGAACGCATGCTGCAGTTCTCCTACGTGATACAAAATCATAGCATGTACCATTCATAACTCCTTAGGAAATTAGCATGCCGATGCCAATATACCTCGACTTCTGGATCCGAACAAATGCTAATTTCATGTGGATGTCCATGCAAATCTGCTCACATACATCTCAAGGGTGGGATAACCTGTGACTCCATTTGCGCAGACTTCATTTCTTGGTATACAGATTGGAATCTTCAGTAGAGACATTTCATCTGAAGGGGTGAAACTTAACCAATAATGAGTCCCAATTACAATCTTGGCCTGAAAAAAAAACTGCCTTTTTTCTTTTAAAAAAAAAAGCACTTCGAGTGACGGGGAATATATAACCACTACAAGCCTACAACTCTCACATGGATTACTTTCAGCTCGGTGCACCAATCATTATCATCTCATCTCCGCTCTAATACATAAAGGTTCTGCAATGAGTTCAGGAAATGCGATTAGGGAGCTGAAGCCAAGATAATTTGCAGACGTTACATAAGCAAAAACCTTAATTTGATGTTTATGCCAATTTAATGATGTCATGGCCTGTATTGATAAAGTAATGAGAAAGATAAGTTCAACTTGAATTGTTATGAAAGTCTACACGGAGAGGAGTATAGTGAGAAGGAACTGACAAGTTGTAATGAAGTTGCTTACTGCGCTGTAGTGGTGATCAAACGTACCACAAAAACATTCATGACAATCCTTAATAATCTCAAGGTCTGCACTATCTTGACTGGTCAAAGATCGCAATGTCAAATGTTTTCCCACTGCATTGTGATTATGAAAAGTTCAACGCTGATAATCACAAAGCTGAGACAAACATCTCAAGGAAGACAGCGATTGAGACCTCTAACGAACAGCGTTGCACGGAAGTATCAGACTAACTGTTCCTTTAGCTGGTTTACTACAATCCAAAACATCACCAAGTTTCAACAGTATGAAAGCTATTTCTAAGACGAATAACAACAAAAGACTTCATCCCAAATGTTCAGGGTTGGCTATATGAATCGTATTCTTCCATTCCATTTTAAGACGAATACATAGGGTAAAAAGCAAGGGTAAATTTCACAAATTCCCCCGAACTTTGTGGGGTGTTTCACAACCCTCCCAACCTTTATAAATTTGAGGAAGTCACTATGGCGACATGTTGTTCAAGTTGTTGTGTTTTGCACCGTGACATGTTCAAACAAGCTTGCCCTTACGCAGTTTTACTTTTACTGAAAGAGTTTTGCACCGTGACATGTTCAGACCTTCTACCCTTCAGGTTAAATCCGTTTATGACAATTCAAACAATTCAAAAGTCCATGAAGGGTTTATCTAATTTATAGCTTTTTAGGGAGTTCTGTGAAAACACTCCAATGTTCAGGGAGGTTTTGTGAAATTTACTGCATTTACTCAAAAAATAATAATAATAATAATTCAAGCACCAAGAAGATTTCCCACAACCAACATTATTCATTGACTACACCAATCCTACAGAAATTGATTCATACTTCTTGGTGCAACTGGAGAATACTGACACAATGATCACATAATTTAAGCTCATGTCACCAGAGAGACTAACAGTCTGGAATTCTCTTATACTTGAATTTAATTCTAGAAATAATATAGTAGAGGAGACTACTCAGAGGCTAAGCAGTTTATCTCCCTAAGAATTCTCCAAGGGATAAACATTGATCTACGGGAGTAACAAATTAATGAAATTGATAATTAAACACTAAAAGTCCAAAAAAAAGTATTCTTTATGCACTGAGAAAACTGTAACACTCCAAATCTTTAACCACATCAATTCAAGTTCGGGTTTTTAATTTTTTAAGGGCTTGTTTGGATTGAGGGGAATGAGGGTGAAGGGAAGTTAGGGGAACCATTCACCTCCATTCACCTTGTTTGGGAACACTTAGGAGGTGAAGTTAATTCACCTCCATTCACCTTGGTTCACCCCCTAATAGTATAAAAATTGTTACCCCTAAATTGGGGTGTAACCAAAGGGAAGGGAATTCCCTTCCCTTCCCTTCCCTTCCCTTCACTCAGTTTCCCTTAACTTCCCTTCACCCCCTACGAATCCAAACAGGCCCTAAGGTTAATGAAGCTCGATCTTCACATATAAACAACAAAATCTGCAGTCTGCTCAATATTTCCCTTAAAAAAAAACCCAAATTTTCGGAAGTACAGTCGCTAGGGTTTATGAAACGAAACCTGAAGGATTAGGGATCCGAGTAGAGCGGAGATCTAAGATCGATGAAGCAAATGAGCTCATCTCCGATCTCGCCCTCGCCTTCATTTCTAAAACCCCTGGAGACCGCATCGATTAGCATCAGAGCTCGATCCGAGAGATCCAAAACCGGCGAATACGCCAAAAGAGACGAGGCCTCCGACCTCGGACGCCTCGGCGACATCGCCGCCGCGATCAGGCGAGAATCTCCGCCTACGATCATTTTCCGGCGATCTTGCCGAGATTGATGGTGGCGGTTGAATATTAAAACGTTTATCGCAGTTGGATGGGGGGGAGCGAACCCGTATCCGACGAGTTTCGGATCCGGGTCGGGTTTGAATCAAAAATTGAACTTGTGGAACAAGACAAAACTAACTTAGTTTATTGAAAGGACTGAAGGACCCTACTTTGCTCAATTGGATGGGGGGGAGTTGAACCGAGCCACTCCACATAAAAGATGGAGGAACAAAAAATCACGTCATCAATTATCCTCCATCTTTCCCTTAAAATCTAGAGTCTGCATTTTCTTCCTTCTAGAACCCCCACCATATTCCCATTTCTACCCTTTTCCCTTAACGGGCGTCGGTTTTTATTTTAACTTGGATCCGTTATCGGTAGTTGAGATCCGCCTGTTAGCAGCGTTCACATTTAAGATTCAAAATTTAGTTCCTTTACTCGAGTTTCACTCTTGAGATTGCTAGGACACCAGTTATTCCGCCCAAAGCACAATGACTTCAGGTGTTCTTTGTCCGGTTAGCGTCTACGTGTAACTATAGTCTAAACATGATCATCCTTCCATATTAGGTTAGTTAACACCATAACTTAGCTACCACTAAACACAAAACCCATCTCCTACAGAGCATGGTGATCGACCAGAGCATGGTGGTCGATAGAATCGACCACCGGCTATCCAACATTCTTTTCTTGACAGAATATAAACCGTTCTTTTAGGAGCACTAACGATCAAAATCTATCTTCAACTAAGTTGTACTAGAACTCAGCCTACTCGTTTACCATCCAAGACTCTAGATCGCATCATTTTTTTCAATTGTAAAACACTAATTTGAGTTTGAGTGTTGGAGAGACTTTTGGCTGGGATCTGACCCCAACCTTTAGCATATTTACTCCTAAAACCCATATAGTAACGATCATTAGAGCTGGGAAATCTAAGAAGACAAACCGACTCCCTCCTTAGGAGCCTCTCCCATTATGCATCGATCTCTACCCTTATTCGTCTCAATCATTTAGGTTTTGCTGTCCGGATCTTGTCATGTCAAACTGAAAAAAACAGATGACAAACCCTCATATTTCTTATATTAACCCGCTTTATAAAATAAGATAAATTCAAACAATGGCATCTTACGTGGATGTGATTTCCTGGAGAAATATGAGATCTATCCATACATATCCAGACGCACGTCATATAAAGAAAGTCTATAGTACCGAATGTACTAAGTTACTAACCATCTATTCCTTTATACAAATAGGAGGATTAGAGATTCACTGTTCATGCTACAGTAAATGCTACAGTAGCATTTACTGCAGCATTATTACTGTAGCTAATAATTAATTAAAGTTATTACTGCAGCGCACGGGTATATTGTAGCATTTAAAAGGTACTGTAGCAGAGCGGGATACTGTAGCACTTCCAACAATTCAAATCATGCCATATTAAAAAACAGGATTACTGTAGCAAAAATGCGCAAACTAGTTAACATATATATCAAAGCCGGCATCAAACTCCAGATCGGGTTAGCGGGTACAACCCCCATATCCGCTTACCCATTTAGGACGCAACCGTAATTTTCATCAGGCCCACCCAATAAAAACCCCACCTCACTCCCATTCCAAAAATCTCATCTCGATCTCCACCACGCACCCCCTACCTACCCGCCCGAAAATGCCCTCCGGCTCCTCCCTCCAGATCCCCACCTACCCGCCACCAGAATCCGAATCCGACGAGACCTGGGTCTGGACCCAAATCAAAGCGGAGGCGATCCGCGACGCAGAATCCGAACCCGCCCTCGCCAGCTACCTCTACGCCACCGTCCTCTCTCACCCATCGCTCGCTCGATCTCTCTCCTTTCACCTCGCCAACAAACTCTGCTCCTCCACGCTGCTATCCACTCTCCTGTACGATCTCTTCTTGAATATTTTCTCGCATCATCCAACTGTGTTGTCGGCGGCTGTCGCCGATCTGATCGCCGTCAGGCACCGGGACCCAGCGTGCGTGTCGTTCTCTCATTGTCTTTTGAATTTCAAGGGGTTTCTTGCGGTTGAGGTGAGCTATTTCGGTTAAAGATGCGATTTTTTGAATTGGGTTACGAAAAAGTTGAAATTTTGGGGTAAATTTGACGAGGATTGGTAGGGTTTGGTGACTTTAGAATTTTTATATGATTTAAGGCAATTTTTTTAAAAGATAATATTTTCTTCGAAATGATGACTAATTAAGAAAATTAATGGGATTGAGCTTGATAAGACAATAATTACTTAACCCTTTTAGTTGTATGATTATCTGAAGTTATCTGTGTCGATCTTGGCACTAACCTTTGATTGAATACTAAGATTCAGCATTAATTTGGCGCTAGAAGTTTGATTTTTTTAAATAAATAAGTTGGGTTTGGAAAAAGTTAATATTTTGTGGGGAATCTGAATACAGGTTGAGCATAAAGTGTATGATTTTATTTTAAAATAAATAAGTTGGGTTTGGAAAAAGTTTATATTTTGTGGGGAATTTGAATACAGGTTGAGCATAAAGTGTATGATTTAGTGAAAGTTAGGATTCTATCATGTGTTAGTGAAAGTATTGATAACTATATGTCAATTTATTCTGCAACTTGGTGAGTTCACGCATGGACCATTAAGTTTAGTAAAATAATAGTTGTTTTGACTTCTTTAGTTGTGCAATTTTCAAATATAAATGTTAATCCTGGAATCCTAAAGTCGAATAAAACCTACAAGCTGTACAGGTAAATTGAGTGTTAATATTCCTCATTAATGAGCACAAAAACTAGAACTTGAAGTTTGCAGTTAGTTTGATTTCAAGTAACCCTGCTGAGATCTCTTAATTTCATGATCTCAGGCAAAAACTTGGATACTTCTGCAATTGATTGCCATAGGATTTAGTCAGTTGATCATTGTGAATCTGAAAGTGTTGATTCAAGCTTGAGCACAATGCTGTACAGAGTTTGACTTTGGTTTTAGAACTTCCACATCAGGGATCAGTTAGCCAACCTGTGTACAATATACTTCAACTAGTTCGGATAGTTTCCATATTGATCTTGCAGTTCTTTGATTAAAAAAAAAACATTACAATGATTATATCAATCTATTCGGCAACTTTGTACAGTTAACAAATACACCATTAGTCTCAGTAAGATAATGTTTACTAGTTCTCTCATACCAATACCAAATTTTGTTCTTAATTGACAATCGGATACATTACCTCGTTTCATTTATGTTCCCAGGCGTACCGAGTTGCCCATGTACTCTGGGCCCAATCCCGACGCCCTCTAGCCCTAGCTCTCCACTCTCGCATAGCCGATGTCTTCTCCGTTGACATCCATCCCGCTGCCAAGATCGGCAAGGGCATCCTCCTCGACCACGCCACTGGTGTCGTGATTGGGGAAACTGCCGTAGTTGGCAACAACGTCTCAATCCTCCACCACGTAACCCTAGGTGGAACCGGGAAAGTTGGAGGAGACCGTCATCCAAAGATCGGTGATGGGGTTCTGATTGGAGCGGGAGCGACGATTTTGGGGAACATTAGGATTGGAGAAGGAGCGAAGGTTGGGGCTGGCTCACTTGTGCTGATCGATGTGCCGCCAAGAACCACTGCTGTCGGGAATCCAGCGAGGTTGATAGGAGGGAAGGAGAAGCCTTCGAGGCTGGAGGATGTGCCTGGGGAATCAATGGATCATACTTCCTTCATTTCGGAGTGGTCGGACTATATTATATGATCATGTATGGATTTTTCTCTCCGGCTCTCCTTGTGTCTCTTTCCTTGATTCACGTTCTATATGTGAGTTAACATGAATATGTGTCCCCGTGGTGGTTACAGTTACACGTATCTTATGTTATGAAGATATCTATTTATGAGTTATGTGATTTTGAGACTCTTTAGAGTATTATGCGTTCAAAGCTCTAGTGGTTAACGGATCCTGCTCATGTGATTCTTGTATTTGTTATCCAAGGGGATCTCGATGTGCTATTTTCCTTTTGCTTTGGTGGAAAAAAGACAAAGCTGGCCAGTGTTGAGCCTGGCACTTGCAATATCCTGACCTCAGCCGCACTCCCAATCATCACTTTGTACAGAACATCAAGATCCCTTTGCAAAGATTAGGATGATTTTTCTGTAGTTTTGGGTCTTTCATTATTTGCTTTGAAGTATTCGGCACTCTTGAACATCTTAGGATCTGCACTCAAAAAGTCCTGTTCTAATACAAAAGAAAGTCGTGAAAAAGACCTGGTTCTATATCACTAAGGGTCCGTTTGGTTAGAGATTTTTTTTCCCTTGAAAGCCTGTCAAAGTGTCACTTCTTTGGCAGGCCACCTCTAAAAGAGGCGATTTTGTTTGAAAGCCTGCCAAAAAGTGACACTTTTGGTAGGCTTTCAAGAGAGCTTTTCCCTCAAAAACAGGGAACCAAACAGCCCCTAAGGCTTACGGATTACTTTTGACTAGCAAGCTGTGCAATTTTACAGGAAGTACTTTCAAAAAGAGAGAGTGAGGGATGGATAAAATACACAAGGAAAAAAGCACATGTAGGAGGTTGTGTACAAAATCTATACGTTAGGGCGTGTTTTGTCAAATTTCTCCAAGGAGTAGAAATTCTTCACTACCCAGAGTTTGAATGAAAAGCCCTGTTCTATCCAAATGAACCGAAAATCGTTTTGTCATAGATTTTAGGATGCCACGAGGCCTCAAATTAGCTTTATGTAGGAAGTTCAAAAGATGAGAACTGCCTCAAGATTTTAGAGTTTTCATTCTGCAGCATTCGTCTCCGTCATCACATTTCTCCGGGCTCTTCTCATCTTTCTTCAAAATTTCTTCACTTTAAAGAATTTGAGTGGTCTCCAGGTCAGGTTTCAGGTTTCTGGAATCATCACGCACCTCCTCTGTCGAAGGTCAATCTGTGTTTGACTTGCTTACAGCAATTTCCAATTACTAGAGTTTATTTGAAATTTGGAGGGGCTTTAATTGGAAGAAGCCAACCATAAATTTTCAAATTGCAACCTTCGTTTCTTTGACCGTTATTGTCTGAAAGGCTTCACGATGTTAGTTGGGCTACAGGGCTTTCCTCTCTTTTAATGGTCTGCTTCTTCCATTTTTTTTCCTTTTTTTTCTTCGCATTTGTGCGAGAAACCTTGGCTTAGTACTAGCTAATTAAACTTGTGCTATTTGTCACAGTCCAAGCCTAGATGAATAGCACAAGTGTTGTGACGTCTAACAATTAAAAAAAATTGGGATAGACATGTCATAGGCACGGATCGATTCTTAGCCTTTTGAGCAATGCCCCAAGTCCTGATCACTGGACCACTTTGGGTCGTTAATGTTCTATATTTATATCTAAATAACTATACGCATGGAATAAGTTCCTTGTTGTTGTTGATTTTGACAAAAGAGTTAAAGAGCTCCTTTCCTATTTTAAGGCAAAAACTTATATAATTAAAACACATTTGAGTAATTACTATAGATAATTCACATAGATAATATATAAAAGTGAGTTCTAAAAGGTATTATTGTAAAGCAAAAAAGTTAAATTTTTTATTGTTGTCTTTTCAATCATTAACTCAATAAGACGGTAACTAAAACTTTATAACAAAAAAAAAAGCAATAAAAAAGTTAGTTAGATGGGTTACATCATGAAATTAAAATTAAACAACAACCCATTATGGCATTATTTCTCCAGTAAAAAGCAAACTGAGGACAAGGATGACGCTTCCATTACAGTAACATGACGTCACCTTTGCATATCGCTGGAAGAACATCACGCATATGCCCATAGTCATCATATGCATCCAATTTGATGTCAAATACAACATCACATAAATTCAATGAATCCTCGCACGTGACTTTGTAATATATTGTCAACATGAACCATGAGACTAGCGCATATAATTTAAACAGGAGACAGTATGAGCCTATGAGGCAAAGTCTCACGAGATGTAGCAGGGGTAGCTTCAGTTTACAAAGTTTATTATTTTTAGTTAAATGCTAACCGTTATATATGTACGATTTTTACAAGCAAAGAACATGATTCGATCCCGTTTCCTCAGTCAAACAGATACTTAGAATTAAATAATAGTCATACTTATTAGTGCATATAACTATAATCATCAATTTCAGAGTTTTGACGTAACGATAACTATCTCTGTCAGGGTAACGCTGCAATCTAGGCTCAATCTCATTGGCCAAAAAACTTAAAATAGAATTCTGAAAAGAATTGATACCGCTGTGTAAGCCCAATTTCATTCCGCGATGGTACGCAAAAGTATAAATTTATGACCATCAACCCTCACTACAACCCAACGCCCCGAGGCAGTAGATCTTAAGGATGTGATGATGATATAGCTGAAAAAGTTAGAAAACCCACACTTACATTAAAAACCTTATGCTGTTGAAAATACATTATATCTCCACCCTAGCTCAAGCAAAAACAAGCCTCTACTGCATTAGAGGATAAAGGCTATACAACTTAGCGGTGGACGAGGGACATGCGGTGAGGTGTACTGCAATTTGTGCTGCAAAAATAGGAGACACTCTTGCTAATTTTAATAGTGATATTCTTGGAATTATGTGCTTTAATTAATAAATATCCCATGGGGAAGTTTGGAGGTGGGATTCCCACTCAAGAGGAAGCAACCACCCAAGTTCCCTACTATTAATTCATTAAATGTTTTTAACATTTATACCCTCCTTAATTATAGTTACATTTTGCATCTTCGGAATGTGTAAGACCTCATTTGTTCAACAATTTTGTTCAAGAGTACGTAGATTCACCGTCACGGTTAAACTTTTTCAATGGTAATTTTCATTATGAGTGGTTAATTTACTTGTTTATCAACAAAAAATGGAAAAGAATTTATTTTGCATAGACTTCAAGAACTTAATTATCACAAGGACAACGAGGCTCGTGTCAATGTCAAAGTGGAAGGTGGGACTTTGAAAGTTTTAGGTTCGAGGTTCAAAGTCGGTTTACAAAGTTTTTTACACAGCTTATGTTTATTTTTAATACTGAATAGCAACAAGAAAATAAAATAAAAGTGATCTAGATTGGATTTCTAAGAAATGAAAAAATAGAAGTATATTTAAAAAAAAATTGGTATATTGAGGTTAGTTTTAGATAAACCTTATTCCACTAAGATGACACCTTTTCTTCGATGTCTGTTATCACGTTGTCCTCTCATGATAAAAGGCTTCTAATTTTCCTTTAAAAAGCTAAAATAAAAAGTGATATGAGGATAAACTGTTATGGAGCATACTCAATGTTCCGTTAAAATGAAATTAATCATATAGTCAAAAAGTAGGGATATGAAATTATATACAAACTTTATCCCTTAAAAAAGTGACCTTTTTTTCCCCTTCGTGTTAAAAAGAAGAAAATCATGCATTATGATTTATGAATTTTAGTTGCGAAAACTTTATAGGACATCTTCTCACCCACAAAAAATCGGAAATGGAAAACTCATCCTTGAAATGATTTTAATACATTTCAAGCACATTTCCTAGATTTTTTTTTTTTTTTTTGGTTTGTTTCGCAAAGAAAACTTCACATTTCAATGCCAAGTCACACAAACAGACAAAAAAAGCCTCCATAGTAACAGTGCACAGTTTTCTATTTCTTTTGTTTGTTTGAGAACAAGAAATAGGAAATGAGAAATGAGGGTATTAAATATTATGTTTTATTATTCTGCACTATTTCAACAGTGCTTTTACTAATTAATAATTCTTAGATGGGACATTTTCAAGTGTTTTCAGGCCAATTTGGTGTGAAAACACATTTCTTGAAAGTTTGATGTGGCAGCCTACCTGGCGGTTCATTTCTCGAAAATTAAAAACGAAACAAACATGAGAAATGAAAATCTCTTGAAAACAAAATCACATGTGACACTTGTTCATTTCTTGAGGTGGCAAGAGATTTCAAGATTTTTTTTGGCAAACGAACAGACCCTCAACGGTAAAATATGATACGTTTGCAAATAAAAGCTGCACGAGAGTCAAAAGGAACAAAGAAAGAAAAAGAAAAGCTAAATCCATATATGATATATCTAGAAGGGCACATGTGTCAAAGTTCCCATTTATTTCCCGAATTATTTGGAATATCCTTTTGGCATCTTCTCCTCTTCACCACCTATAAAATGCCTCCATTTCTCAAAACAAAGCCTCACCCAAAAAAAAACAACTCGATTTTTGATCAGAAATGGCCTCAACAATAATCATCTTCGATTTCGATAAAACAATCATCGATGTAGACAGCGACAACTGGGTGATGGAAAATCTCGGAGCAACCCAGCTCTTCAATGAGCTTCGCCCAACGATGCCCTGGAATCCTCTCATGGTATGTAAATTTTCTGTTCTTTTTTTTGACAAAATTTCATTTTTTTTATTTAATGATGTTTTTAAGCTCAAATTAGTAAACGGGTCATCTTCAAAATTTGATTTTGATTCCAGGACAGGATAATGGGTGAGCTGCATTCACAGGGGAGGACTATTGATGAGATTGTAGAATGCTTGAAGAGGATTCCTTTGGATCCTCATATAATTTCAGCCATTAAATCTGCTCATTCTCTTGGGTAATTTTGGTTTCCTTATAAATGGGTTTTTTTATTACAATAGCATTCAGATTTTTTTGTGATTTAAATATTATTATTATTATTATTATAGGTGTGATATGAGGGTGGTAAGTGATGCCAATTTGTTCTACATAGAGACTGTTCTCAAGCACCATGGGATCTTTGGGTGTTTTACTGAGATTAATACAAATCCTAGCTATGTTGATGAAGCTGGGAGGCTGAGGATTTTCCCTTACCATGATTTCACCAAATCTCCACATGGTTGTAATCTCTGCCCTCCAAATATGTGCAAGGTAATTAACCCTCCAACCTTTTTTTTTTTTTGCCCCCTTCACTTGGTTATTGCAAGTTCTTAATTCTTAGAAATAAGGGTTCATTGAGCATAGACGCCATATACTTCTATTTGTACGAGTAGAGCCCTGTACTATTGGCCCAACTGCGAATACACTCATTTAGTGGACTTTTTCGACTCTTTAAGAAGTAAAACCATTAGCAATTGAGGGTTCATCCTTAGCAATAAGGGGTCTATCCGCCTCCTCAAAACTTTTTTAATGCTTTTACATATAAAAAGAAATTCACTAGGGGGGTTTATTCGCACGGATAAAGCTTAAAAGATGTCTATTGGCAATTAACCCTTGAAAAAATTTGAAGGCAGCATTGACCTCTGTGCTTAGTATTTAGATATAGTCTCATCTACTTAAAAAAAAAATTTTTGTAGCACGCAAGAAAATTGATGTCTTTTTGGGGTGTTTCTTAAAAGTTAAATAACTCCTGAAGCCTGTGAATCATTGAATGCCGACTTTTTGACTGTTGAAAGATTATAAAGTTAAAGCAATCTGGATAGCCCCTTTAAGAAAACAAAATTTTGGTGTCTTTTTCACGGCAAAAGGGGGCATTTTGGTTCTAGGTTGCTTATTTTGTAAGCAGATTAAACCTACTGATGATGTTTTCTCTATAACTTTGAGGAGTTTTGGCATTTGCCCCCCTTTTAGTTTGAAGAAACTGATAATTTCATCATGTTATATTATGAACTTGACTTCAAAAACATTAATTATCTAAATACAGAATGAAATCACCAATTAACCATCTCCCATCAACAGGGCAGGGTCATAGAAAGAATCCAAGCATCGACAAATTCAAAAGAAAAGAAGAGATTCATTTACCTCGGTGATGGCAGAGGAGACTACTGCCCAACTCTGAAACTAAATGAAGGAGACTATGTGATGCCAAGGAAAAACTACCCAGTTTGGGATCTCATCACCAGCAACATCGGCCTCATCAAAGCTGAGATCCATGAATGGAGCAACGGCGAAGAGCTTGAGAAAACGCTAATGCAGCTCGTCAAAAGCTCGACATCAGCACAATTGTTATCGGTGGATTGCAAGTCTCAGGCAAAACAATTGAAGACTCATGAAGGTCTCGCTAAGGCTCTGCATGTTCAACAGTAGATGAATGCGATGTGCTTCATCTTCTTATATTGCAGGCTGTTAGATTTGTCGAATGCTGCTGATTTATAATTGGAAGTTGACAGTTTACACAGATGTATGCGGATTGAATGAGTATAATGGAGTTCAAACTCCAAAAAAAAAAATTCAGGATATCTCTAAAAGTTCATTGCATGTATATAACTTGTGCGTGTATAATTGGCGGGGATTCTAAAAGGTTTTCAGGAAATCTTGAGCTCGCCCACCAAATATTATGCCTACATACGTGCATAGCCATAGATATATGCATAGATATATCTTAGATTTTGTAGGCGCATGATGCTTATTTATTGGAGTATCCAAAGGTAATGACACAATGAGAGAACCTAATGCTTTCTTGCATTACTTGATGGACTTATACAGCATTTTCAGGAATGTTACAGAAAAACAATAGTAAAATGAAGGGGGAGAACTTTTTAAAAAAGAACCTTTTTGAAACTTCGTTAGCAATCGACCTATGTTTGATATAGTTAGCAAAATCCACCTCTTTTTGGCCAAAGAGACTGATTTTGCAAAAATGAAGCTTTAAAATACACGGGACTTTTACCCCCGTATATTTAGTGGTGCATAATTACACCCTATTATGAAGTTTAATTAGTCGTGTATTTTCTAAAGTTTAATTAGCATGTGATTAGCCAACACTAATTACACGGGACTACTGGTCCCATGTATTTAAAAACCATAATTTGCAAAATCAACAAAAGAGATCGATTTTGCTAATTAAAAAAGGTCCGTTTTGTTAATAAAGTTTCAAGAAGGGTCTTTTTAAAAAAATTCCAAATTTCAGATGAGTCCCTCACACCATTAAATTCGCTATTTGGGCTGGGCCCCCAACAAGGAAAATCCATCCCCCCACACTCCTCTTCCACATCAGAGCGGGTCCCGCTTGCCTAGCTGGACCAATGAGAACAAAGCCTCGACGTGGCAGATCGGTAAATATTCAATCCCCAAGCTCAAAACACTTTCGAACTTCGAAGGGATCTCGAGATTTGACCCTCTCTCTCTCTCTCTCACAAGTAAACAGAGAATCGCCATGGCGAAGCTCGCTGCCCTAGCAATCCTCCTCCTCTTCTCAATCGCCGAGATCTCTCTCTCCTCCGCCAAGAAACCGTCGGCCGCCGCCGCTCGAAGAGAAGACATCCCCTTTATACGATGCCAGGTCTGCCACAAGATCGCGGAGCAGATTTACAATCAAGTTGAGAAGAAGCAAGCTCAGATATCACCTAAAAAGGTCAACTTTTTGTTGTTTGGTTTCGATTCTGTTGACATTGGTGGTTTCTTTTGGTGGTTTAATTGAGTTTTGGTGGTTTGATTTGGGGGATTAGGTTTCGGAGTACCAGATTATTGAGATTGCGGAGAATGTTTGTAATTTGAAGAAGGAAGAGGCGGATTGGATTCTGCAGATTGATATTGTTGAGAAAGGGGACAAGTTGGAGGTAAAATCAACTGCTTTTTTTTTAAATACAAAATCGTATTTTTGGGTGCAAATTTATGGTGATTCTTTGAAATTATCCTTTGTTTTGATTTCACATGACAATGCTGGTGTGTAGTAATTAAATTTCCTTTGTAGCTTGTTGAACAAGGTACTGAAGGGCTATGCAACTCAGAGTGTAAGACTATCGAGCGCGCGTGTCAAGAGGTTAGTATCTACTTTTATGTTTCACATATGAATCAATGGCACAAAAGATTGCTTTCAAAATTAATCTGTTTTCTGGGTTTTTTTTATTGGTAATGATCTAGTTATATTTTGGGCGATGTTGTAAATGTTTTGATCACTTAGTAATTGACACTTGTTAAGATATCTATTAGTATTCAGTCTGGTGAAATGTTTAGGAACATATAGTTATAGCACAGGTTGGTGATTGTTGCACGTGCACATGATCAGGAGGCAGAGGCAGGAGTTTATAATGGATTTGTATCATACTTGTATTAAACAGAGTAAAAGGGTTTAAAAACAACAAATCTACCTAACATTTTAAATAGATGCATAAATTGTTGACGATTGATGGGGTGATGTATTGATGTTTTTATCTTTTAATAAATTTTTCTATGATATTATTGTGTCTTGGGTGATGAAACAACTCGATGCATAGAGTTTGTCTAGAGATTAAAAATCTATTAAATATTCACTTAGCAGTGGCCAACTAAGGAGGGACCATTCAAGGTAGATATCATGTTTTTTTTTCTATGTCATCTTTGTGCTTAAGAAAACATTAGGTCACTGAAAGTAATATGAGCAACGAGCGCAAAAAAGTTTTGTGATGGGAATACCCTTCTATTTGAGTGGAGAATTTATGTGAGATTGGTAAGCAGTACTACCTTGTTTTGAACTTCAAAACTGGTGAATTGCAATGTTGGTGTAATGTCAAAAGAGGATCAGGTTTTGGCTCAAGAGTTGGAATAACTGTTTATATCTTATTGTTAGACTAGTACTTTGGTTCAGGAGTTAGGTTAAAAGTGCATGGAAAGCAAACGACAGTTTATATGGCTGTATTTCAGTGTATCAAGAGGAAAAAAATACCAACTTTAGTACAGAGATTAATTTAGCTGTACGCTATTTCATTATCAAAACTTTTCTTTGCACGTGCATGTTGCCTGCTGAGTGGTCGCAATCATTTTCATCAAGGCTCAGTAAACTGAAAAGTTGTTAAAAATTTAACCGCACAGAATGTCATAGACGACACTGTTTGCTTTCAATAATAAGTAGGATATGTGCAATATTATTGTAAGATCAACACGTGAAATTTTCAGTGCAATACATGTAGCCGGTTAGAATCATAAATTTTTTTTCTTGTTTATGAGATGTCACATTTTTTTGCTGCAGATCATTGGATACTCGGATACAGATGTTGCTGAATTTGTATATAAACACCGTCCTTCTGTTGATAAATTGGCGAATGTCCTGTGTAAAGACCTTTCTGATGCATGCTCCAAAAGCCCACCACCTGTTCCTAAGGTATTGCACTCATATATTTCTGATATTAAGAGAGCAAGTTTGTTCACTTCTGCAGTTACTTCCTTAGTCTAGTCCTGAAGAATTACTGTGAATACTTTGTGATACTTCATCTTATAGATTTAACTTGGCCTTGAATGTTAGATGTTTCCTAAAGTCAGATATTATCTAAATTTGGTTGGACATTATTTTCTCACATGGTGCTACATAAGATGTCATTTGTCTTGACACTCTGGGAGCTGCTTAGTAGAAACTTAATGCTCTACAGCCATAATTAGAATAAGAACAAGTCAATATTTACCTCAACTGCACAATGATACAGTGTCATCGTTAGATTAACAGTTCCATTTGAGCAATTATTTTTGAGATCCTGATCATACTCATAATTACAGTGCCTTAAGGTGCGACATATATTTGCACCTTTAACAAAACTTTTAATTCTGATAATATCTATACCTTCCAAATGCACATGGACATCCCCAAAGATGTAAATTGAGTTAGATGCTTAATGTGGTTTTCACGTCTAGATACCCAGATGATACAGGTATTATATGACACGCAAAATGTAATATACTCATAAGTTTCTCTGGGTAAACTTGATAAACCTTAAAAGTAAAGACCAGAATTTTTGGCAACATTTCCCCAGTGAGGGCTCGGTGGTTTGCTTTTATAGGCTGTCAACTCTGTGCCTGTTGTTATTGCTGAAATGACGCTCTCATGCTATGCAGGATAGGATTCCAGGAGAAGCTTTTGTTGCAAAGCCAGCTAAAGATGCAGAAATGGAAAAGATTATGAGATCCATGGAGGTATCTCATATATACTTGCCCAAGCCAAGTTCAATTATTTACATATGGCATTGGATACACCTTAATATCTTATTCTAATAACAGGGTATGCCTGGTGCACCAAGCATGAAGATGTACTCGAGAGATGACATAATGAATAACAGGTTCGGTGATGAGGATGGTGATGATGAAGATGATGATGATGAAGACAAATTCCCTGGAAAACTGGTAATTAATTAGTAACTTCCTTTTGATATCTCTCGCTATTATCTCTGACATTGATTTTTTTTCTCTTTGTTTGTTTCAGGGGAACATCTTGAGAGAGAAGGAATCTTCTAAGAAAGATAAAGATTTAAAACAGAAGATACTACAAGGTGTAAAAGATGCTGGAAAGGTTGTGAAAGGGCACGTAAACAAGGTTTCGAAACAGCTTGGAAGTTGGTGGAGAGGGAAGAAGACGAGCACCAAAACATCAAAGAAAGGGAAATCTGAACTCTAGGGCCAGAATTTTGATACTACGTTTATCAGATGTCTCGGTTTTTTGTATATGGGATACGGCATTGTAATCTATTCGAAACTCCCAGAATGTAGAATGGTGTAATACAATCAATTCTTCGTAAGTACTGAGATGATCGTTAGCTACATGGCTCTTTTTTTCTTGTTAAATGTATGTTCATAAGCTGCCTTCACAAAAAAAAAA